GGCCCCATTTGGTGTGGGTCCGATTTAATCCTTCCAGCAAGGTTACTGTCTGCAAGGTGGGTCATTATCCTTGTTCTGTAGTTGAGGGAACCGAACGGAATCTTAGAAACCTTAAGAGAAAGGCCCGAGGTAACACGAGGAGAGCGATGTTAACTCGAGTGAGGCTGATTGTGGAGCCCGCCTCTCTCCTCCTGACTACACTTGATCTTCAGCCAAGCCTCAGCAGTCAGAGAGCATGGGGTACGTGTATTTAGGAGACCAGGGATGTGATGTTTTGGCGAGAGCAGAGAACAGAGAGTACATGTAGGTGAGAGCATTTTCTTTTGGTAGAAACTCTGAACTTTTTTTAGTTCCAATAATTTTACAGAAGCAACCTTCGTTTTCTTGGACTTTCGTGCTTTGAGTAAAGTCACCTTCCTTCAGCCTTGAGGAAAGAGGATCCCTGCCAGAATATACACTGTGGCTCCCGCTGGGCGGTTTGCTTCAGGTTTCCGGGCCACTCGGCGGAGCCTCTGGGGGATTTGCACATGGCGTCCTCATAGTGCTGTGCTGGCTCGTGGCTCCAGGCTCCTTGACAACAGCTCCACCGAGGATGGCTCGGCCGTCCCGCCGGTGGAGAGGACCAGGATTGCCATTCAGCTGCTCTGCAGCAGGGCCGTGTGGTCAGCGCATCTTCTCTCTCAGGTCTCCAGCTCCTCTGCTGAGACACAGGGACTGTCTCATGCCAGGGCTGGTTATTCTTTATGTTTTCCACTCATCTACCCAGCTGTTGCCATCCATCTATCTATCTGTGCTGCATCGACTAATCCCTTGCTATTGACCAGCACTGAGTTAGGCAGAGGGACTAGAAAGATAAATAATAAACAGTTCTTACTTTCAAAGACCCCAACGTCTAATAACGGAGAAATGATAACAGATCATTGATTACTGATGGCTGTAGAAACACCAAGCAAAACTCCTGGTGAGTATGTCAGCAGTATTCTGGAGCGCTGCTGTCTCTGGGGTGCCAGAGCCGTCAAGTGGTCATTTTTGTCTGCTGGGCTTATCTCATCCCACGCTAGGAGGAAATGGAGGCTCTGAGAGGTGAAGTTCCTTGCTCAAGTCATGCAGCTGGTGAGTGGGTAAGCTGGGATTCAAACCCTGGTGTATGATTCCAACGTCCTTCCTCTTTAAACACTGTTCGCAGGGACATGCCACACTTGTTTGGCCTCCTGCCTGCCTGTGACGTTCGTAAATATGGGTGCCTGATGATGCTCCTCAGGCACCTTTGAGCACAGTGTCTGGGAATTTTCTCCTGCTGTTGGGGTCATGAGTAGCCACAGGCCTTCAAGTGAGAAAACAGACAAAAGTCAGACTTGCTGTAGTTTCAGGCAAGGCAGATGTGTCTGTGGCCCACTTCTCCTTGGCAGGAAACTTCTGACACAACAGAGGTATCTTAACAGATCAGCATTGCTGCCTCCTCATCTTTGGACCAGGGTTTCAAAGAGTTGGAAGACAAAATGGAAAATGAAATGCCTGGAACATTCTGTGGCTCTTGACACTTCGCCTCCATCCTTCTGCCTTTTGTGCAGCTGATGCTCATTTTCCTGGGATGCCGTTGTCCCTCTGGCCAGCTGTTTGTCTCTGGGAAGCCTTGCTAACTACACCCAGGAGGGACCCCTCCAGTGGTCTGTTCTTCCCACTGGAGCATTGAGCACAGCACATCGTAATGATCTGCATAGGCATCTTTTTCCCACAGTGGCCCTCAGGGTCCTGATGCCTTGGACTATCTTTGCATCTGAGCATCATCACCATGTAAAGAGGCACGCTGGGTTGACTCAGACTTTGCTAATTTAAAGTACATATAATTCTTTGTTCTAAGAAAAAGCTTATCAGGGAACAGAAAATACTTAATAAATGATTGCTTATGAAAGAGTTCTTAATTGAGGAGGAAGAAGGCAAAAAACTTTAAAAAGCAAAACAAAAACCCACCTTTTTGGAGTCAGGCAGAGGGGAGTTTGAGTTCTGTCTCCTCTACTTACAGAGTACGAGTTTGGACCCATTCTCCACTTCCCTGAGCTGCTATTTTCTCACCTATGAAACGGGAGCCATGGTACCCGTGAGATTCTTGTGTGTTGTTTAGTGGGCTAACATAGGTAAAGTGATTAACATAGAGCCTGATACTCTGAAGACATTTGATTACTGATGGCTATAATTAATATGATAGTACGAAAAAACTTCACTGTCTGCTTTTGTACTGAATATTCACTTTTACAGAAGTTTCTCTTAGCCCATTTTTTTGGTGCTCATTTCAAGACATCTTTTTGCTATTAGATTGAAAAACATGGCTTGTGAGTCATGACCCACTTTATATCTGGAAGGGGACCGGGCTTGTGTTTGATGGATGCGTGGTCAGACGCTTGGACCCTCGTTTCTTTTTATGTAGTAAACAAATTGATACTCCCAGAACATAGTCATTTTGCAAATTGCGCAGATGCATTCTCATGGCATAGGATGTTCGCTTTCATGGAGCTTTCAGCCAGACATGACACACTACGTGTTGTCATTGCAAGTTCTCGAACAATGATGTTCAGAGCCTTGAATGTCCCCTGAGTGTATGTTTCACACCAGCTTTAATTGTTGTATTTTGCTTCTTAGAATAAACCCTCTCTCATTTGATACTGTTCTCTACCATGTTGTGAGTTTTCAGCATTTTATCAGTTTACGGCATTCCAGAATCCTCCAGAGACCCAATTTAGACAAAGTTAATTACAGAAAGTAAAATAATGATCTTGTAGCTGCGGTTTTGATTTTTCTAATGCTACTACTGTAAGAAGTATATCACAGAGATAGACAAACAACGTAACAACAGTCACTATTAATTAGCTGGTGCTGTGTCCCGAGAATCGTCCTGGGTGGTTTTATACAGTCTCTTTTTTTCCTGTTGCGAATGCCCAGTATGATGGGCATCTGTATTTTATGGTCAACGGAGCTGTGGCCCAAATGCGTCAAGTCACTATCCGTGGCCCCTGCCTAGAAGCTCTAGGTCCAAAGCCTCCTCGAGTCGCAGCCAGCCGTCAGCAGGACATTCCAGTGACCCCCCCCAATTGTAGAAAGACCGCTGTTGCAAGGGCTGCAACTCCTGAACCACAGTGCTCTCTTCCCAAACAGGTCAGCTTGTGCTGCTGAGGCGGGGTGCAGGCCTGATGGGGTCCCCGTGTGGCTGCCCCCTCCTCACCTTCTGCCCTCCCTCGTTCTGGGGAGGGCTGTGTGTTGGCTTTGGTGAGTTACCTCTAAAGCTTCTGCCATCTTATGCCTCAGACGGAGCTCCAAGACTGGGCTCACCCACACTCGGTGCCCTGGGAACTCTCTTTGTAGTGGCTGGGTTGGTGAAACATAGTTGAAGTGTGAGGAATCTAAGTTCAGGGCCTCTGCAGTCACCACGAGTCGGGCAGGACGAAGGAATCCAGGCTGCCACCCAGGGGCCTCAGCTCACAGGCGCTGGCATCACAGTTGACACCTGATGTCTCAGCATTCAGTTTAGTGCTCTTGAGAGAAGCTGTGGGAAATGGCTCTTTTTGAGGATTACCTTGATTTGTATTTTTTAAAGAAATTGCTATCTAGTGTCTTTAACAGGTGAAATATTCTGGTTTGCTAGAATGGGGAAAATTACCTGTTTAGTTCAAATTATATTCATATATTGAGCATACACTGTATTCCATGGAGTATTCTAGACTCTTTCTCTTGCATAAAATTCTTACCACTCCACTGTGAGGGGGATTAGACCACCCTGAACTGTAGATTGGGAAAACGAGTCTGGTAGAGACTAACAGACTTGTTCGAGGCGTGAAACGAATGGGACTCGCCGCTGGATCTCCTTTAGGCCCATCCATTAACGGAAACCATGCATTCTTACAATGAAATGCTGTGTATGTTTTGGGGGAAGGTAGAGGCTCAGGAAGCAGAGCTTATGGGCTTTTCTTGAGGAAGCACTATTATATTTAATGGTGTTAATATAATAGCATAATAGTGTCGGTATTGTGAACCCCACGCGCTGTCCTGGGGCTGTGACTGAAGGCTGATCTGGGGATGCTGTGGAGATGGTTTCCACTGTTCTTCCACTTAATGGCCCCGGTTTCTGTGCCCTTTGAGTTTGCGGGTGAGCGATTCAGAGTTTCCATCTCTAGTTACCTTTGGTAGTGAGCTGCCCTGAAGGCCATGTCTTTCCTTCTAATCATTTACAAGGTGCTTTTCAGGGAAGCACTGGGTTTCTAAGCTAGTAGACTGCAAAGCAGGAGTAAATTGCTCCTGTGAAGACCTCATCCCCTTTGACAGGAGCTCTGCTCTGCGTCCCCTCTCAATCTTTTGCACTCCCTTCAGATGCTCAGCCGTCTCCCCAGGGTGAGGCTGTGGAAGGAGTTGCCGGGTGGGTGAGGTGAGGTGTTGGTGAGGTGTTGGTGAGGGAGGATGGGCCCTGCATGTGAGTTCTCCGCGGGGCGTGCAGGGGCGTTTTAGCCTCGAGCGAGGCTGCGTTCGAATCTGGGCTTTGCCTTGCTGTCTGGGGAAGCTGGCAAGTTCCCTCTTTGGTGACTCAGTTTGCACATCTGAAATATGGAGCAGTCATACCTTTCCTGTAAGACTGTTCTAAGGAGTGCATGCGACAGTGGAATTTAAAGGATTGAGTACAGTGCCTGGTGTCTACTATGCATTTAAAAAATACGGCTTCCTGACCTCCCTCTCTGCTGGACTTACTGGCTTTGTGTTTGCTGAGGTTGTGCACAGGGATCCAACCCACCGCCTTCGTTCTGTGACCTAACATGCGGTCCCTGGCACAGAAGGGGCGCCCCAAAAGAATTTGTTGAGTGAGGAAAACCTCAGATTTCGTGGTTGCTACGGGCTACACAGTGAAAATACCAAACCGTAATGAAACGATGTTCTTGGTTCGTCATTTTTTATGCATCACTGCCCCTTCAGCCTGAAGGAAGTAAAGATGTTTACAGATCCTTCTCTGTTTTTTGCAGTGCCTGAAACAGTACGTGGAGCTCTTGATCAAAGAAGGATTAGAAACTGCAATTAGCTGCCCTGATGCCGCGTGCCCCAAACAGGGCCACCTGCAGGAGAACGAGGCACGTGCAACTGAACACAACCAGTTTTCTAACCTGTACAGGGATGCCCCGCTTAGCTTAGCTTGTCGGACACCATGGGGTCTGTTTAGGATGACATTGCGTGGTGTTCTAGCCCTCAGCCTGTTATACTTATTTGTGTTTTTCTCCCCTTAGATTGAGTGCATGGTTGCAGCTGAAATTATGCAAAGATATAAAAAGCTACAATTTGAAAGAGGTAGGTGCCTTGTTATATTAGCCTGTTACGTTCTGATGGCAGAATCCGGGTAACTTCGGGGGAGCACTTTTGGCAGATAGGACCGTACATCATTTGGCTATCACAGAAGTGGAAACGTCGGTGTCAGACTCCTGAAATTCAGCTGCCGGTTTGAATTCTCTGAGGAGCTCGTGGTTGGAAGGCTGATGTGGGGATGTGTTTGGTAGCAAGAAGGATTCGTGAAACACAACTTGCTTATCGGGATCTGGGCTTACGCAGTGGTGTAAAGAGATGTGACCCTCATGGGGCATTGTTCTTCAGTCAGCTTAAAGCTTTGTGGTTTGAGGACTAAACTCTTAGACCTGCGCGGAATTTAAAAGACACAAAGGCACGGAAGGAGTCCTGAGGCTAAGCATAGAATTGAATGTGATGATCACCGTCCTGACAGCGGAGTGTGGCCTGTCCATTTGCGCTCACTGTCCACCTCCTGCAGGCCCAGACTAGTAGATGCCCAGCGAATAACTGAGTCCCTTATCTCACTAAGCACCACAACATCCCTGCAAGGTTGTCATTGTCCATTAACCTGACACACCCAGAGGCTAACTGACTTGCCCTCATTTCCATCTCTAGCGGGTGGGGGGGGCGGGGGTGGGTATGGACCAGACCCTACTCCTGCAGCGTCCCGCACAGCCCTCCTGTCTGGAGCTGGGCCTGATGTAGACTCCGGGGTTTTCCAGGAGCACGTCATGGAGTGTGCGCAGAGCAGTGTTAACATCATTTTCAGATGGCATTGTATTAAAACATATTGAATGTCCAGGACACATCTTTATCTTTGCTCTCTGAGTACACCAGGATCGTAACATGATATTTTAAAGAGTCTGTAGATGCCATTTGGCCTCGTTTTCATATATATCCTAGACCTTGGGCTCATCTGAAAAGGAGCAGATTAACAGACATGTATAGATGATGCTCCTTATGCAAAACTTGTGAAGATACTGCATCCACATTCTAACATTTCCATGTCAGTTTGTAATCACTGAAGTCTCCTCTCCCTCTTCCTGGACTGGTTTGCAGGTCCCTGTCTGCATCAGGCATTCATTACTGAGATGCAGCCGTGAGCTATGTGTTTACAGGAAAACACCATCAAGATGGGAATGGAATGCAGAATAGACGAGAGGAAACTATCCAGGGACTCCTGGTTAGCTGAATGCAGAGAGTTTTCTTTTCTCTGTTTTTTTTTTTTTTTTTAAATGCTAAAGATAGCTGTATTTCCTCTTGAGGCTTACTTCTCAGAAAAAACATCAATGTGTGGCCAGCTTAAAAAAATCAAACGTGATTTTTGATAGCATTGAAATCTGTTTTCAATAGTTTGTTTATTTAAATGGCATGTATCATTTGGTTTGGGGCTGTTTATAGCTTAAATATAATGTCATGTGATACAAAAGTCAGTATGTGGAGCTGTAAAATTGATTAATTTGGATTTCTGAGACTTTCAGCCTCTTCTGAAAACATTTTCCAGAGAATGTCTTGACAGAAACTAGCAGTTATTTGAATTACAAGAAAATGAACTTTCCATGACGTTGGATTTAATTTGAAAATGCAGCTGGGTAAATTTTCCTACCTAATGATTTTAACTGTTGTTATTTCTTCAGTACTTTGGCTTAGTCAAAGAAGATTTTTTTTCTTTTGCATAAAAATGAAGCCAACCTGACTTAGGTTAAAAAATATTTCTCAAAGCTATCACTTTAAAAATTTTACTAACAGTTTTGTTAAAAGTAACAAAAAAAAACCCAAAATAGACTCAGAAAATGATCAAAGACCTATCTGAATGAAATGTTAAAATGTGAGAGCTAAAATACAGCTATTGATTATAGCCGGTACATTGAACAAGTTTTGAGATACGATCAGAAAGCAAGTTTTGACTTGTTCTGTCCCTGTGAAAAGGAGTCAGAGAGGATGCTCTCGATGAAAACTCAGTGCCATAATTTTCTGAAAACATTTATTACAAAAGTCCTATGGTTAGTTTACATTGCAAACACTGTCTCCTTTTGGATTTTGAGTGCCTCCTCTGATCTGACAGCCTAGATTTTAATTTAAACTTCCCCACCCTCCAGCTGCGTCCTTGGCAAGCAGGCAGCCGGGAAGGAGGCTGTGGACTTGTTTTCTTTGGGAGCACCCACTCTCAACCAGAAGACTCCACAGACTGAGAAGGACAGGCTTTCCAGGGAGAGCTCCCTCACCCCCACTTGCCTGCCCATCACGCAGACGCATGCTTTTATTTGAGCACCGATGGCGCCACCCTGCTGGGCTTGTTTTCATGTCCATCTCTCCTGCAGTTCCTGCTGCCCTGGGACAGGGCCCACAGCTCCTCAGTTCTCCCTCTGACAGCAGAGCACAGGTCCCACAATTGCTGAAGTCAGATCTTGTCCTGTGTTGAGTCGTTTTTTTAAAGGAAACTAGAGCTCAGGAGATTAAATAACTTGCCGGGCTTACCCATCAGTTGTCAGCCTGACCACAGGCAGACTCCTGACGATTACGCCTCCTCCCGACAGGGTGGAACCTGCTGCCACAGTGTGTAGCCCGTGCACCAGCCAAGCCACCAGTGTAGAAAGAGCCAGTGCGAGGACGTGAGGTGACGCTGGGTGTGTTACCGTGCACAGCATGCTTCTCAAAGGAAAAACAGTGTTTTAAAAAACCCCACTTTTTAAAAAGCCTTGGGCTTTTTGTTAAGTCGAGCTATTAGAGACCTACTTCATTAATCTGTTAATATATCTTTGGGAGATGGGAGTTAAGATTAGTTTCTTCCAGTATGCCAGAAAATACACTGCTTGCCTTGTTTGACTGTATATGCTAATATATGTATATGTAAAATGTTAGATATATAGATGTAATATATCTAATATATATTATTAGATGTATATGTGATAGACATAGATATGTATGCATATACTCATCCAGAAAAGAAAAACTCTGATGTTGCCCAGTGTGGATTTTCTTATTGATTGATTTCCGTCTTCTACGCCTTGCTGGCAGACCTCAGCCATGGGGTGATGATGTAGAATATTAATAGAAGTCCGAGAGAAGCCTGGAGCTGTTCACAGGGTTTGATGTGCCCTGGCAGCACTGGAAGCGTGTTTGCAGTCAGCAAATTGGACAGACTTTTATTTGCCCTTTATCTCTCCAAAAGGGAATCTCTCCCTGTGGGGACAGGCAGTGCCCTGTCACAGCTCCATGAAGACAAAGGTCACAGAATTTAAGTCATTGTCATGGAAAGCTTAACTAAGTTTCCTATACCCTGCACAAGATAATTGGGCCTTTCAGGACGAGGCAGCCCCTGGCTGTGCAGGAGAGGGAGCTGGGGATGGCACACAGCAGGAAAATGCATGAGGAGATGCAGCGGCTTGGGAAGGCTGGCCCTTCCTGATGTCACAGACTCCGCAGAGCAAAAGAAGGGGTGGGCGCGGAGACCAGTGGGGGCCGAAAGCATCTCAGTGGGGCAGTGTTGTCCCGTTAGGCTCTCAGATAGACCAGCAGTAACCACAGGGTCAGGTTGGAAAGAAATCAGAACAGGCTGAGGGTGTCTCCGTGTGTCATGGGGCTGTGCTCGCTCAGCGCCCGCGTCCTGCCGCACCTTCCTCAGGAGCTGTGCACACGGGGGACCCCATGAGCTGGCCGGGGCAAAGCTGGGCTCACCGGCATCGCACACTGGCACAGAGGGCAGAGAGCTGTGTGAGAAATTCTCAAGGAGGTGGATCAGGTTGGAGAGGGAGAGAGCGGCCTGGTAAACTGCACAGCTTCTAGCTCCAGAGGAGGATGTGGGAGCCGCCTCTGGTGTTCCCTCTGTACAGGAGGTCTTCCCAGGTATCCGGGAAGCAACCACTGCCCCAGGCTGGCCCTGCATCCCTCTCCCCTCCTTTCTCCAGTTCCCCCAGCTTGGTGGGCAGCAGATAGCTGCTCCACCCGTGTGCGAGGGAGCAATGGCTGCGTTTTCCCACAAGGGCCCCTCCTCAGATCTGACAGCCAGAAACGTTCTTGGAAAAGCAAACTCGGAAACTCTCAGCTAATTACAAGAGCTAATTTTACTCATTCACTCACTATTAGGAGCATCATGAAGACTTCACGTTGCTATAACAAAGATCAATTAAAAAGTAGTGCATTTTCCGAATTCCGGAGATCCTTTCTATTATAAGTCCTTCTAATCTTCTGCCGGACCTACCAATTTGTCCGTTTTGTGCCATTGATTAATCCCCCCTTAAAAAGAAGTAGAGGTGACAAGTTAGATTAGATCAACCGTCAGCCAACCATGGGGAGTGGGCCAGACCCTCCTCTGGCCTGGCCTTGATTGCATCAGCATGGCTGCCTTGGGCCACAGAAGCCTAGCTGAGTAGTTGGACAGAGACCACGTGGCCCTCAAAGACTTAAAATGCTCACTGTCTGCCCCTTTGCAGAAGAAGTTCGCCAGCCCCTGAGTGGTTTTCCAGGTTGTCCCTCCCAGAGGCTTGCTCCTGAAGGGCTGTGTCTGCCTTCCCCATTTAACTGGGGAAGGTGGCAAACACCCACGTGTCCTAGGGCAGCCTGTTTGGGTGAGGCCTGGGCTGGGTCCAGCCCACAGCCTGTGGTCCATCCCCAGGGAGCACCAGTCACGTTCTCGATGCGGGTGAACTGAACCCGCCCTGGCTGTTGGTGGGTCACACGGCCAGGAGCCTTGCAGATGCCTTCCACTGCCTCTGCAGTTCCCCGGGAAGTTGAGTTGTCTGGGAAGACTTCCCAAGAGCCCAGCTGCAGAGCTTGGAAACCAGTGGCCTACTTGAAGGCCTTTGCACACAGCCCCGTCATCCTTCAGCCTCCGATGGCTTTTTGGCAGAGTGTCTGCATTCTGTGTGGTTTCCTGTCAGGTTCTCCCTCCTGCTGCCCCGCATTGGGAATTCCGTGTTACTCTGGACAAGGGGGTGAATGAAGTGGATAACCAGGCTCACCAGGAAGGTCAGCTCGGGACCCATTATTTAAAGAAATGCGAGTTTTGAACAAGGATGTGAAGGGGTGGGAGCGTCAGGGTATCCTGTTTTTCAACGTAACTTCCTGACTCGTTACATTAAATCAGGCTTCTTAGTAACTTGGGATCCCCTCAGGATGGAGAAGCTGGCCCTTCCACACAGTAGTTAGCACATGGCTTAGATTTAAATTTGTGGGGGAGACAGTCTTAGGTCGATGAGCCATTTGATGAGAAGAATTCGACCTTCTTCCTTCCTTTCTTTCCATCCTTAACAAACATTTTCCATGTGTCTACTGCGTGCCTCGCACTAGGCCAGGTTGTGAGGCTGCAAGGCTGAAGACACAGCCCTGACTTCAGAAAACTATGTCCTACAGGAGGCAGACGAGGCAGCAGAAGGCAGTGCCTGGACCATGGTGTGTGGGATCTCAGAGAAAACCCAGACGGGCGGTCAGGCGAGGCTTCCAGGAGGTAGTGGCCTGTGATCCTCGAGGGCAAACAGAGGGTCCAGGTGGCCACAGGCATTCTGCGTGCAGGCAGCAGTGTCCCTAAAGGACTCCAAGGGTATTTGGAGTGGGGTTGAAAGTGAGGAGTGGCTGGAGGGGAGAAAGAGCCAGACAGGCACCAGGTCGTGAGGGGCGTGTTCTGACTGCATCGTCTGGACGTTCTCCTCACCAGTAGATATGTGAAGCGACGCACTGACCTAATCCCTCGGTCCAAAGCCCCATGAGCTCCTTTGGCCTGCAGAGTTTGACTAGCCTATTTTGTCTCCTTGTGTTAGAGGTGCTCCTGGACCCCTGTCGGACTTGGTGCCCGGCGTCCACCTGCCAGGCTGTGTGCCAGCTCCAGGAGATTGGGCTGCAGACCCCACAGCTGGTGCAGTGCAAAGCGTGCGACATGGAATTCTGTTCCGCCTGCAAAGCCAGCTGGCACCCCGGACAAGGCTGCCCTGAGCCCATGCCAGTCACCTTCCTTCCTGGGGAGACCAGGTACCCATCACACAGGCTGCCGCAGGAAGCATGGGCTGAGGGCTGGGAGAAGGGAGGGAAGGGAGTATGTTTCCTCCTTAAACGTGCCGCCGAGGGGACATGACTGCACCTCATCGGTCTCTTTCTCTGAGTCTTATTCAAACCTGGGTTGGTTTGTTTTGGATTTATTTCTGCGAGTGAGTCTGTGCCAGGTGCTGTGCAGGGCCCTGGAGATAGAAAGACGCGTAGGAGACGAGCTCTGCTCTGCCTATCCGGAAAGACAAAGGCATGAGCAGTTAGTTGCTAGGAAGGGTTTTAAGTCCTGCGATGCCTTACATTTTCACAAGACTCCATTGTGTTGAAGGTGGTCCAAAACCCAAAACGGGTGCAGAAGGGGAACCAGAGCAGGTGGGCAGGGGTTATAAACAGCAGAAGGATCACGAAAAGCAGGTGCCCAGTACCTGAGGCCGAGGTGGCTGCATCTCCCTAAAACGGCGAGCCTGTTGGAAGGCTGTGGTAAGTCACCACAGTGTTGCTGCCCTCCTGTCCCCCAGCCAGACCCTCAGGCTGGACCCCCAGGTGGCCACTGCGGCATCATTCTGTGTGCCTTGGAATTTAGTAGGTTGAACCATAAGAAATAGATAATATTCAGCTTTTTTCCCTACAAAAGCTGCACTGGCCTCTGGCCCACCTGGATGGAGTTGGCCCTGCACCTGTTGAGACCGCCTTCCTGGTCTCACACCAGGAGCTCCCACCATGCACCCCGAGGAGTGGTCACCAGCTGCACCTGTTTTCCTCTCGCCTCCCGTTCTGCCATCCCTGCCCCTACTCCCACAGCTCGACAGCTCAACTTGCACAGAGACACTCTTGGCGTGAGGGGATGGACTATAATTAGTTTTCGGGTGGTGAAGCCCTGACACATCCCTTCTCTCTCCCGTTTGCACGTTTGTGCCTGAGCCTGGAATGCCCTTTCTCCGCCCTCCTCATTTCCCTGGAGACACCATGTCACCCTCGAAGACATGGCTCACGTCCCCTCCTTTGTCCAGCTTCCCAGTTCCCAGGGCAGGGCTGGTGGCCTCACCCTCTGTGTCCCCTCTGGAGATTGTCTGCACTGATTACAGCAGCAGCCATATTGTGTTTTAGTTCGTCTGTTTACAGGGCTGATTCCTCCATTAGACTGAGCTCCTGACACCACGGCCTGCACTTGCTTGAACTTTGTCGCCCAGATCCTGGTGCACACTGGACACTCAAACACTGGAATAAATCACTTAACTTAGGGTCTCAGTGCTTCCTGGTTTGGCAAGAAGAAACACACTGTTTATATGGTCAGATGACACGTAAGTGGTGGAGCTAGACTCCCAGGATGGGGAAGAAGTGCAGTCACGAGCTGCTTAAGGACGTTTCTGTCAATGACAGACCACATGCACAGTGGTGGTCCCATAAGACCAGTGCCGTATAGCTTAGATGTGCAGCAGGCTATACCATCTTGGTTTGTGTACGTACACTCTATGATGTTCACACGATGAAATCGGCCGACGATGCATTTCTCAGAACTTATGCCCATCGTGAAGCGACACACGATTCTAAATAGAAAGCAGGTTGGGGCGTTCGCCCTCTTGAAGCAGTTGAGTTGTCTGTTTAGAAGAGAAAGCCCGCATTAGGTGAGTGAGTGGGTTTCTATGATCTGTTAAGCAAGAAAACCAGGAGTGAGAAAGAGCCAGTGGCCCACTCCTTTTGGGATGGAAGAGGGACCCAGCCGTGACATTTCTTTAGCATAGAACCTTCTTAAGACGGGAAGACGATGAGTCTTGGGAGCCTGTGGCAAAGTGTCTCTTCATCGTGATCTTCTGGTCTTATTTAGGTCACTGCACAAGGGCAGCTGTCATTCCACAATGTATGTGTATATTAAATCATTGCTTCCTACACCTTACAAAGAGCAAAAACGAACAAGCAGAAAAGAAAAATCACATTGTGCAACCTAAAAAAAAAATGATACAAGAGCGTATTTAAATGAAAATTCACAAATCTCACTTTGTGGAAATTTAAAAATCAAAAGGTTTTACATAAACATCTGAATTTCTGGCTTCTCTGGGAAATCTGACTATCTGGCCACACTGAGCCTACATTCCTGCTTGCTGAGAGTCGGCTGGAGCTGAGGGCCCCTCTTTAGAAGGGGGTTTGTGCTATCTTTAGTTTGCCCCAGTCCTCAGCACTCCCTCTTGTCTCCCTGGTCGTGAGGGTGACTGGCAGGTGTCGTTTATAACTGAGGGTGCACACAACTATTTTCATAAGGTGGAATTTATTTTTTTGAAATTAAATCTTCCCTGAACCCACATTCTCATCTACGACCTGACCAGCTTCACTCATGAACATCGTGCCTGCCCCTTAAACACATTAGAACATGTAGATTGTAAGAAGCGGTCAAAGACTCTATCTGCCTTGGTAAATTTGAGTTTAAAGTAAGAGTTGTTATTACTAATAATTTGAAATATAATTCAAGTACCAGAAAATGTTTGAAAACTGGTCTATCCCATGTAAATTTCTGTGCATGCCACAGTGCACCAGAACTTACATATTTTAACTGTTTCTGTTTTGAGAAGTCTCCTGGAGAGATGCTCTCTAGTCTTCATTAATGTTGCCCTGTTCAGGGCATTTTCTTCAAAATTAGCTTATGAGTCATGTAAGAAAATTGGTTTTGTTACTTTTAGGTCACACCTGACTTTCAAACCCAAATGATGTTATCTAACCAGAGAGTCAGTCTTAGTCACTGGGCTCGGGGCCTCCTGACTTCGTGCTCCTTGCACAAGTCAAGTTCATTTCCAAAGGAGACTACCACAGTGTTTGTGCCGAGCCGCTTGTGCCAGGGCCCCTTGGAGGCACTTGCATGTATGTTGTCTCATTCGCCCCTTGCAACAACCCTGGTTCATTCTAAATCACATTCTGTGCAGCCAGGGTGGTCTATCGTTTGCTTTTAAACTGGAGAAGAATTTGAGCTGGACATAATTTTACTATCTTTCAGGGATAGCATTAATAACAGCTGCCATTTATTAAGCGCTTATGACATCCGCGTGGGGTTTTGTGCCTATGCACTCAATCCACGGAAACTCTTAAATCTTGCAACACCCTTCTGAGATGGATCTGGTTAGCCTCATTTCTGCGGACGAGGAGACCAAGACTGTTAGCACGTGAAGAGCACAGCTAGGATTGTCTGTCGTGTCGAGACTCCGTGCTCCTAACTATGAGGGTGCACTGCTTCATTTCCTAACTGGTCACCTACTGGTGGACAAAACAGAACCACATTCAGCTGAACATCGCTTCACGGTGAAGGAGTCATGCACGTGGGAAAACACTGTGGATGTGGTCATATGGAAAGTTCACTGCTAATCATCAGATAACTCATGCTGAAGTGAAACTATATTTAATCCTTATATTTACTGTGATGCTTGTGGAAGATCCTTCAGCCAGAATGCACTCAAAATGCCAGAATTTGCTCAACTTCACTGAGTGGATACTCATAAATGCATTAAGTTCTGAAAAGCCTGCTCAACCCAATTGGAAATCAGTTTTGTCCTAACGAAGTTGAACTAATGCAATGAGTTCAATATAGCAAATGCACCCCCATAATCCCTGATAACTTCTCTTAATAGTCTACCATTTTTTCTTCCAGATGGTCTCCTACATATTTTTCAGCTGTCTTCTTGAAATTAATAGCATGGAATGGACGTCCTTTCCTAGTCACATCTAAATATCTATGTTACCTTTTTGTTAGCTACAGAGAATTGTTGCCACCAATTACTGGGCTCTTCGCATGTGCTTGATACTGTGGTGTGCTCATTTCATACATAATCTTCTGTTGTGCTCAGCTGTTGAGAAGACTGAGGCTGAGAGAGGTTGTTGCGCAGCTAGTTTGTCGCAGAGCCAGCACTTGACCCCAGGCTTAGAGCCCGTCGTGCTAACCACTGAAATCCTAGCCAGACTTCTCAGGAGACGCTTCTGTGAAGACGAGCCGGGTAGATCTAGCCAAGCAGTTAGTGTGTGTTCCTAACACTTTTTTCTGATAATAGCAAAGTATGTAAAAATTATTATCAACCCTTTGGAAAGTATAGAAATACATGAATAAGGACATAAAATTTCACCATAACCCCATAACTCACATACCTCCATTATAAGCTTCTTGCCATATTTTCCTTTGGTTGTCCATATATATCTAAATTTAGATACATAGTGATCTTGTTCTTTTTTCCCCTAAATCTAACTGGCTGATGGACAGTTTTCTGACGATTGTTTTCCAGAGTTTCAGTTTCAGCGAGTGACCTCAGTCCCTCTAGTTAAGCTCACGCTTCCAGCAGAGCCCGGGCAGACGGGTCTCTCCCGAGGCCTCTGGGCAGAGCCCTGATGGCGTTTCTTCCACAGCTCCGCTTTCAGACTGGAGGAGGACGACGCGCCCATCAAGCGCTGCCCCAAGTGCAAGGTCTACATCGAGCGGGATGAAGGCTGCGCACAGATGATGTGCAGGAACTGCAAGCACGCCTTCTGCTGGTACTGCCTTGAGTCTCTGGACGTGAGTACGGCCTCGCGCGCGACGGTGCTGCCTTTGGCTTTCAGGTTCAGACTTGGAGGCTCCTGGGAGACAGATGTAACACTAGCAGACTTTTTTTCCTGTACTTATGAAAATGTAAATTCATTGAACGGTATGGTATCAGAAGACAGTAATCCGTGCAGGAGTTCTGGGGAGTGAAAGGTCAGCTCGGGCTTGGTGTTCAGCCAGGGCTGTAAAGGGGCAGAGGGCATCTTCGGATCTTTGGTTTTGTCTGTAGGGTCTGTCTTAGTTCAGGCCGCTATAACAGAACACCATAGACTGGGAGCTGAAACAACAGACGCTTGTTTCTCACCATTCTGGAGGCTGGATGTCTGAGATCAGGGCGCCCCGTGGCCGGGTTCTGGTGAGACCCATCTTCCTGGTGTACAGATGGTCTCCTTCTCGCTGTGTCCTCACCTGAGAGAGGCCTCTTCTTATAAAGACATTAATCCCTTCCTGGGGGCCCCAGTCTCATGACCTCATCTGAAACTAATTACCTCACAAGGGCCCCACCTCCAAATGTCATCCCATTGGGGGTTAGGGCTTCAACATATGAATTTTCAGGGGGACACGAACATTCACTCCTTATCAGGGACCGCCGGTGGAAGAGCAAGGATAGAGGCAGGGGATTGTGAAGCATCTTGGATGTGGGATGGCTACTTCAGTGACACGTCATCCACAGAGCAGAAAAACATACAAACCCTCTGCTTTCTCCGCTAGAATGAACTTTCTAGCCTCATATGGCCACCTTCTCCCAAGCATGCCCTTGTGCCATGAGTGTTTCCCAAGCACTCTGTACCCATGTGTGGCTGCCAGGAGCACCCAGCCCGCATTCTCAGAGCACCGCCTTTATCTGGAGCTTCAAGGCCTGAAGCAAGTGATGCCGCTTTTCATCTCTTTAGTCTCCTTCTTCACCCATATCAGAGGAGTGGGCATTTTGCTAAAATGATGACACATGACTTTAGTCTTAGAAGAATTGGTTTGTACATAGGTTTTTAAAACTATAATTAAATAGCGGAACTAATCATCTATTAAAATCACTGTAGTTAGTGACAGCTGAAGCAAATCAAGTCATCTGTCATCAAAGGGATGTATTTATAAATGGCAGCAAGGAGGAACATGTCCAGCTCACCCTGTAATCGTGTTAAGCCATCAAGATCTGTGTAAAGTAAAGGGAGGTCAGAGCAAATCCGTGTTACATTGTCAGGAGCGCGTCTCTGTGTAGACCGCTGCTCTCACCTTGACTCCCTACAATCAAAGCTCTATTTGTGGGTAAGTCTCCCTACCGAGGGGCTATGTCAGAACAATTCGCCTGCGCACACGACAGCTGAGAAGGGTCAACTCAGGCCGCGAAGGTGGAGGAGAGAGCTGCAGGACAGTGGGCAGGTGGAATCACTTAGAGAGTTCGTCAGTCCTGAGAAGGACTGGCCTGTAGATGATCAAGAAGAAAATAAATGTCTGTTTGAGTCGGAATCTTAAATAAGGTAATAGGTCTCTAATTTAAAGGCCACCTTAAAAAATATTAGGTAGATTGCTTCCTTTTGAGTTGTTCCTTTATTAATTCTAAATTACTAGATTTGCAGTACAATTTTGTGTAGCTGAACAAATCTTGGGAAAATATTACCATTTTTCTATTCTGGAGGCTTCATTTTCTTTTCCTAGGCAAGTTTAACAAATCGGTTTGGCAAGATTAATTTTCTTTAGCTTAAGGCCAAACAACAGGTTTTATATATATAATTTTGCATTCTACTCTTTTCCATTCTTTTTAGAAATTTGATCATTAAATTATGACATGTTATCTAATATCTGACCTGCAATATGCCACTCCTTGTAACTTTTCCTCAAGGGGAAAGGAAGTGCATGTTATCAGATCTCTCTGAAGGTTTTTAGGGAAAATATTAGAAACGGACTGACGAAAAGTTTGATTTCTGGAGCCATCGTTGTTTCTGCTGCCACCTCCCCCTGCTACCTCAATCTGATGGAGTTACAAGGAATAGGAGGCAAGATCCACTGTCTGTGTCCTTGAAGATGATGCTGTTCTCTCCCTGTTCTGGTCTCTGGAGAGACACCCTCTCTGTCTGAGTCGGAAGCGTGGCTCCAGCCTGTGAGAGGAGGCCGGGGTGCGTCTGGCTCTGCCTGGACTAGTGACAGAGGTGCCACACAGCTTGTTACTCCTTGAAAGTCCTCATCCTCATGGCCCACAGTTTCCTGTTTTGCTTTATGGTAAAGAGCTGCTGAAAAATGACCCTGTGACCCTAGAAAGCAGATGCTGAAGGAAAGCGCAGCTGCCCGTGGGGAGGTTGATCAAGGACAGCAGCAACAGTTTGAGACAAGTGCATACCAGTGGCTGGAGGCCAGCAGTGCTGCTCAGACAGGGGCGTGTCCCTGCGCTTCTCTGCTCTCGGAATCTTCCTCCCGAGGCTCGGTCTCGCATGTGGACGCATCAGGGAGTTCCAAATTTCTCCAGACTGCTTCCTTCTGCTCTTATTCCTCACGCCCCTCCTCTGCCCCGGCCGAGCCACAGGCCCCTGAGTTCTCGCTGGTGTGGCCCCGACTCTCCTGCCTCCCTGTCCGGGCTGTCCAGGCACTCCCTACTTACCATCAGAAGGGAAACACGCACTTTCTTTCATTAATGTTTTTGGAGGGGATAAACGGTTAATATTTATTGAAGTAATTGTTATGTGCCAGTAGTCAGTACTGTGCCATTTGTCCTACAGTTCTCTTTAATGCATGCAGTCTTTCTGTGAGAGTTGAATTATTATTTCCCTTTTTCAAGAAGAAGTCCAGGAAGGTGAGCAGTCTTTCCCAGAAGCACCGAAGGAGTAAGGAATGAACCAGCATCCACTCTCTGATCTTTCAAACTCCAGAAACCAACAGCTTTGGGTTAGACCAGACTATTGACAGCCAGAGTTTGACACGAGAGCTCAAACCTTAACCTTAACGGTGAACTGCTCTGCGGACTGGACTCTTATCTTTGAACATCTCACTGATTGCAGCTTTCTATAGCAGCTCCATTGTTTCTGTTTCCACCCAGGAGCTCCGTGGAACTTCTCTGAACAATAGAAAGGAAGTGTTCCCTATCAGGAAAATGCACCTAGGATCCTGGCATGTCCTGCGGTTGTAATGCCCAAGGGCTTGATCAGTAAACTTGGAGTCACAGTGAAATCACTTATGTATTGTAAAAGCATCTCAGAGTGCTTTTGTCAGGGGGAAGAAAGGTACCTGTTGAACACACTTTTGTTCTGGTCAGGAAGCATGCCCTGAGTGTTGCAGCTCAATGTGGAGGCCGGGGCTGACAGGATGAGGCTAGCAAAGTCCTTGACTTGAGGAGCTGATGACCTCCTGGTGGAGAAGCCCCCAGCGCCTCTTAGCAAAACGTCCTTGTGAAGAGGGCTGCAGGACGATGGGCAGGAAATCCCCTGGCAGCCCCGTGGGGGAGGCAGGCACCAGGTCAGGGTGGGTCGGGGTGCAGTGACAGTGGAGGGAGAGGTGGTCACCAGCAAAGACAACAGAGTGTGCCGAGGCAGGCAGCTTCCGGAGAACTGAAAGTGATGAAGAAGGACATGAATGGCACATGGCCTGATCGTGGCCAGAAATGCTGGAAGGGGAGTTGGGCCTGACAAGGGTCTCTGTACCCAGCTGATGGTTTGGCCTCCAGCACAGGGACTCATGCCCCCAATCTGCATCTCCCATGAGTTGTCCAGGAGACTCCAGCAGGCAGCTGGGTTTGTCCACATTTGCTAGAAAAGAACATTGAAGACTTTTCAACAGGGTGGTGCAACATGATTTGGTTTATGTTTCAAAAAGCAAACTCAAAGAGGGGCCAGCCCGGTGGTGCAGGAGTTAAGTTCACGTGCTCCACTTTGGTGGCCTGAGGTTCACTGGTTCAGATCCTGGGCATGGACCTATGACCTGCTTGTCAAGCCATGCTGTGGCATGCATCCCACATATAAAGTAGAGGAAGATGGGCACAGATGTTAGCTCAGGGCTAATCTTCCTCCAAAAAAGAAAATTCAAAGACTATTCAAGAGCTCAGGGTGCAAGACTTTGTGATGGGCAGTCTGGGAAAAATTTACTTATCTCAGTGGTGTGTGCAAATTAATATCAGTAAAGGAGTGCAGTTAATAGTGCAAGGAAGAGCGAGTTCACGGTGGACAGAAGTCGTCAGGGACAGTAGCTGCATGGCAGACAGAGCTCCGGCTGGCAGAGGCTTTGCCTCCATCTGCGCCTGCACATCCCTTTGAAGAGGGAAACACAGAATGCAGGTGAGCGGTGGCGACAGGCCGGGACTGCCGACCTCCTGGGCAGGCTTCCTGCTGTTGCACCGGAAGAGCCACGGGGTCCTGATGTGCACTGTGCATTCAGGCACCACAGGGTCGACCTGTAAAACCAGCAAAGTCAAGGCCAGCACCTTCTTGGGAGGTGAGGAGGCCTTGCTGGCTGCAGCCATGCAGTCTCTTCTAGCAGAGTTGATTTTAGGGGCCAGACAGCAGCCACTATGTCCAGCCCTCCCTGGCTCTCAGAAGAGTAACTTCCTGCCCTCTCAGACGCTTTGGGCTCTGTGCTTACTGACTCTTTGCTCAAAAAGAGGCTGTCTTTTTACACTGTCAGTTAAATGAATAAACAGCCATAGGCCCCTCCTTTGTGCTGTTGATGGAGCCGTTTTGTTTTATGAGCAGTAGGAGAGAAGATGGCACCTCCGTTCCTGGAGGACCAGAGGGAGTGTGTAGACCACCCATTCCCGCCCCCTCTGCCGGTGCTCGTTCAGGTTTTGGGTGCCATGCACTGAGCTAGAAGCACAGTTACAGAGTTTGACATCAGTGAGGGTCCCAACGCCAAGAAAATGACAGCACGGTGACTGGAGGTTAAGGTGGGACGTGAGAACACCTGGAGGGAGGTGGAACAGGAGGTTTCCATGAGAGTCAGAAGGAGCTTCTGCTCACTCGCAGACACTTGGAGAAATTGCAGGTGGAAGATGGGTTCTGAGCTAGTTCTCCAATGATGAGAACATTTAGTGATCTGAGCTGAGAGGGAGGCACTCTCGAGGTGAGACGCCTGGCACTGATGGAGGAGGACAGACCACAAGCAAGGAGACCCTCCACTCCCGGAATAGTCCTGCCGGGACGACAGGAAGATGGGAGGCCGAAGGACTCCAGTGGGATCAAGCACAGCCAGGGCCAGGAGCAGCGTTTGGACCCTCTGACCTACTTGTTCAGAAGCACTGCACCACAGAGATTCCTTCTTTCCTACAAAATCAGAAGGCCCCTGAGCCCGGGGGAGCCCTTCTTCAGGCTGAGACTGGAACCTGGAAGAGGGCTCCCTCTAGCGCCCACGGAGGATGGAGGCCCTGGGGACCAGCAGCGGGCCCTGCAGCGGCAGCAGCCGCGTGGTGCCGGTAGATACTCTTGCTCTCTTGTCACCCACTCTCTCTCATCCCCACTTCCTCTGAGCATAAAGAAAGATACCAGGCGCAGGCAGGACTCATTCACTAAACTGAGAGGACTCTCCCATCCACCCCTCCTCTTTCTTTTCTTCCCAGGATGATTTCCTCCTGATCCACTACGATAAAGGACCCTGCCGGAACAAGCTGGGCCATTCCAGGGCTTCTGTGATCTGGCATCGGACACAGGTAGGAAGTGACTCACCTGGAGCATTGATCTCCCGAGGAGAGGGAGAGAGAGAGCTCATGTGTGTGGGTTCCAGGAGACTTGCCAATTGCTTGGAGATCTGCTGTATAGAAAAATAGAGCTGATAAATGTGATTCTTGCCAAAATTTCTCCTGGCCTCAGATGACGCTGTAATACACAGTTAGCACATGATGGTTCTGTAGCGTCACACTGTAGGTTACTTGCACCTTGTCTTGGTAACAATCCACTGTGTTCAGTTAATCCTTGTGTAGCCCTTAAAGAAGAGCTTTCTATGGAGGCTCCAAGGTGAGCAGCTTAGTCACAGGAAAGGGTAACAGGGAATGAATGGAGAAAGCCCCTCTGCCTGTCTGGGCAGCCTGTGGGGTTTACCCAGGGCTCGTGCGTTAGTATTTATTCATACTTTCAACACATATTTACTTCCTGCTGTACACCAGCCACTATTCTAGGAGCTGGAAATACTCTGGTGAGACACATTCTTCTCTCCTGGAACCCACATGAGAGAAGAGACAGAGATAGTATACCAGCAGCATATGTGTAATGTGAATTCAGCTGTGGAGGGGATGTGATGGGGGGGTCTTTTAGATTGTGTGATCGAGAAAGCCCTTTGGAGGTGGTGCCCTTGGCTGAGCACTGAATGATGTGAAGGAGCGGGCCGTGGGAGTGTGTGGAACAGGACAGAGGGACAGTCCAGGCACAGGGGACAGGGATGAGTTGAAGGGTAGAACTGTGGGGTGAAGCTCTGGGAGTGAGGCAGGTATAGTCAGAGATGATCTGAGTCCAGACCCCCTGGGCTTTGCAGGCCATGGTGAGAGGTTCTGGTTTTCCCCTGGGTGACGGGGAAGCCCTGAGGACATTAGCTGGAGGAGACTCGGTCTGTGCGAGTTTCTGGGTGTGGAAGAGGCCTGAAGGGCTCGTGCTCACAGCACTTCTCGCCTCCGCGCTGGGACAGCTGTCACCCTGTCTGGGAGATGAAGGAGCCACGTCTCAGGGCAGTTTCCCGGGAATGGGCCAGGGTCCACCTTTGACTGCTCCGTAGTCCTCGCTGCAGGGCTGTGGCACAGCCGAATGATCCACGGCAGGGCTGACAGTCGCTTTCTGGAAGGGGCCCCACGCTAGATGGTCTTGGCTTTGCAAACCGTAAGATTCGGTTGCAATTGTCAACTCTGCCTGGTAGGGAAAAAGCAGCCACTGACAATATGTCAACAAAGAACCATGGCTGCTGCGTTACAGAAAACCTCTGATTAAGAAAACAGGTGGTAGAATTGACGGTGGTGATGGTTGCACCAGTCTGAATACGCTAACAACCATTGAATGTGCACTTTAAGTGGGTGAGTTGCAGTGTCTGTGAATTATAGCTCCGTAAAGCTGAGCTAAACAAAACAAAGCAGATTGTGGACCAGATTTGGCCCAAGGGCCAGTTTGCTGACCTGGGTCTGGAGGGTTGATTTTAGCTCCATTGACATTTCTCCCTCCTTGCTACACCCTTGTCCCTGCCCCAGCTTCAGTGCCTACCCCTCCACCTCTGCACTAGTTTGTAGCCTGCTGTAACAAAGGACCTCGAACTGGGCGGCTTGGAACAGCAGAAAAGTACTCCCTCACAGTTCTAGAGGCCAGAAGCCTGAAATCAAGGTGTCGGCAGGGCCATGCTCTCACTGATGCCTGCGAGGGACTCCTTCCTGCCTCTTCTGGCTCCTGGTGCTGGCCAGCGGTCCTTGGTGATCCTTACTTGCAGATGCATCACTCCACCCTCGCTCTTCATGTGGCTGTCTTTCCTCTCTGCGTGCCTGTGTCTGTGTCCAAATTTCCCTTATGATAAGGATGCAGGTCATACTGGATTAGGGCCTGCTCTGATAACCTTGTTTTAACTTGATGACCTCTGTCAAGACCCTGTTTCCAAATAAGTCCACATTCTGAAGTACTGGGAGTTAGGACTCTGGCATGGCATTTTGGGGGGACACGATTCATAACAACATGCCCACCCCTGCACAGTATAGGAAACTGCAGTGGGGCCGTGTTGCTCTTTGTACTGGTTTTCCCCTGGCTGCATGTGGTGGGGATGGATGTGGACTGGTTCGGGCGTCCTGTATTTGCATAGCCGCTGGGCAAGTGGACGCAGGTATGCGCACCTGAACCCTGAAAGTCAGAACCAGGTGAGGCCTCGGAGATCACGGGGTCCTACTCAGGCCTTTTCTGTGTAGGGAGCGAGTGCCAGCCAAGGGAAAGTGACTTGCCCAGGACCTTGTTCTCTACTGCTGTGTGACGAACCTCCCCAACGTGTTGGCTTATCCTCACGTTCCCTTTGCTCACGAGGCTTCGGTGTGAATGAGGCTCCGCAGAGACAGCTCGCCTCTACCCGACTTGGCATTGGCTGGGGTGACGTTCTCTGATGTTCACTGGCTCTCTGCATAGTGGGGAGTTAATCCCGCTGGAGCTGGGGCTGGAACTCCAGCACGTGTCTCTCCACATGGCCTGAACTTCCCAGCAACATGGTGGCTGACCAAGCACGGGCTTCCCAGGAGCAAGCGAGAGCCCAGTGGAATCTGTCTCCCTTTGTAAGGCAGCCTCGGGGGTCACACTTGCCTTGTGCCTGTTTAGCACTGGGAGTGAGTCACGTGTTCCTGAGGGTCCTGGGCAGCACTGCTTTCCTGGTGGCAGTCACTAAGAGAACAGCGCACTTGAGAAATACAGGAACCTGACGACCGGGGTTCACACCGTGAACTGTTGTGGAGGAAGGAGCCTGGAGGCCCCTCTCTGCAGTCCCTCTCAGCACCGTCAGTCAGCAAGCCAGAAGGGGCACCTACTAGTGCCAGCTGTGAGCTGGGCCCTGGAGCCCATGGACGAAGGAACCACCCCTGATCTCAGGGCCCTCTGGGTCCTAGTGGAACTGAACAGAAGCATTCAGGAAAGCATCCACTTCTCTATGGTGTGAGAAGCTCCCAGAGACACGCGGGGTTGTAGATAGAGCAGCAGAGGATGTCACAATTTAGTGTTAGGCTTGGGGTAAACCATAAAATATGACTGAGCCAGTGTCAAAGGAAAGTGAAGGCAGTCGTGAAAACTATGGGACGTGTAAAGCAGTGGAAGCGAAAGCTGGCTGCACGGACAAACTGAGGGATATTGTGTGCAGTGGCAGAGCTGCGCCGGGGCAGACGTTCCTGTACAAACAATGGAAGGCCTTGTTCTCAAGCCTGCAGTGTGACAGCAAGAACCTCCCCCAACACACGCTGTGGAACACCCATTACCAGGAGGTGCTTCTGTTCTTCTGATTTGTCTTTAGAGGTGAAGCATCAACGTGGATGCTTAGACAGTCCTCATTTCCCACGTGAGTCTCCTGGTCTTTGATCATATTGGTGCCCTCCATTCCCTTTCCCCTTCCAACAGGCTCTTGCTGGGGGTTTCCTTATTAGCTGACTTGTTAATGACCCTGTGAGTGGAGTTTTACTTTGTGTTTATTGTAAAGCCTCTTAAGCGGAAATGTGGGTTTTATTATCTTCCATCAAGTTATTCATGAAATTTCTGTTGTGTATTTACAAAGCATCCAGAAATCGTGGTAGGCGCCGGGGTCTGGATGCTGTGGGGTGGCAGGCACCTGATTCCGTGGCCTGAATGGGGATCTCTGCACCCACATCCCTCCTTTCTCCTCTTCCTCACTGGCCTTCGGGACGAATGCTCCCAGCTGTACCGTCACCCTCTTCCGGGCCTCTTCGCTTTGGCCCTGCTGCCCCCCGGTCTTCATCTTTTCTCTACTTGTCCTGGCCGCGCCCAGCTCTGCACATCTAAATTCTACCCACCTCCACAACCAAATGCAGGTGTCACTGCCTCCGTGAAGTCTTTCCTGATTGTTACTAGAGCCCTCCTCCCGTATCCCCTGAGCTCTGGATGTTTCTTCTGGCTCTTACCACATCTTATTGTGATTCACTCCTTTTGTTCCCTCTTGAACACGGCTCATCGTTTATGATAGACAAACCGTCCTTGAGAGCAGGGATTTGTCTTGCTCATCCCTGTGACCTCACGGCCCTGGGCCCACGCCTGAGACAGAAGGATGCTGCAGGAAAAGTACTTGGATGAAAGAGTGAACCCTCAGTTTGGCTTTCCTGTGGCTGGGTTGCAGTCTCCCTCCTCAAAGCCAATGGGCCCTGGAGGGACCAACATCCTTGTTCCTTCGGCTACTCGACACATGGGAATCTTCTTAGGGATGAGACAAGAAGAAAAGGGGCGTGCCTGGCTGAGCCACGTTCTCCTGGGATCCTGGGAGAGCTGCTTTGTTCTGGGTTTGCTCCTGGTGGGAGCGTGATGGAGGTGGATGATGCGAAGTTTGTGACCATTCAGAGAAAGAAAGAACAGTCAGGTGTAGTTGGAGAGGTGATGCTACTTGTTCCCTCTCTAGAGGAAATAAAGAAGTTACCATTAAGAAAAGTGGACTCCTGGGCCAGCAGCCCAGTGGCCTAGTGGTTAAGTTTGCCATGCTCTGCTTTGGTGGCCTGGGTTTGGTTCCCAGGCATGGACCTACACCACTTGTCTGCCAGTGGCCATGCAGTGGTAGCAACTCACATACAAAAAGAGGAAGATTGGCAGTAGATGTTAGCTTGGGGTGAATCTTCCTCAGCAAAAGAAAAAAAAGAAAAAGTGGGTGAATCTTCCTCAGCAAAAGAAAAAAAAATTGGACTCCAGACCTGGTACAGTTGTGTTTGGGGAAACAAGGCAGCAATGTTAGTGTCACAAAGTGTGACAGGTGCACATACGGCAGTTTGAGTGGATGCCCACCCTACCTGGAAACCCCTGACTTCATATGGACTCATCTTTGTCTGCCTTTTAGAAATAGGTCCCTGTGTAGAGATCACTTCCAGTGTGGGGGCATGGTCCTGCCTGTTTTTCTGGCCTCTTGCATCTCCCCTGCCACCTTTCCCTCCTCTGCGCTCTGTGGACTGACCTGCACGCTTGCCCCATGCAGCACTTGGATGAAGCCCAGTGCATACTGACG